TTTTATTGATACTCCAAAAGCAGATAAAAAAAAGACATTGTATAATAACTGCCAAACCAAATTCAAAAGAATAACCACGTCCCACAAGGAATTAAGAATTGCAATTGTTCCCCAAAGTTTCAAGCTTTCCTATTCCCAGGCCTGTAGCCAAAATAATAATAGTTGCAAATTTATCATTATTTAAACTTTAACTTTTGACTTACTATATATACTCAGCGCCCAGAGCTCTGAGGTTAGCTACTTGCATTTTCCTGTGAAGCTCTAATGATAAATGACGTTGGCAAAGCTGCCAGGCAGAGGCCAGAAAGAATCAAGTTAACCCTTAGCTCAGTAGTTCTGCTAGCTTTCTGCTTCTGTACATTGCATATGATGACTCTAAGAGTCCCAGTGTTTTGACTTAGTTTTACTAGTATATAATTTTATGTATTCTGTACTTTCTTTTCCAGGAACCACTCTCAAATGTTGTACAAAAGTTATTTCATAACTTCAATAGATTTTTCCTTTCTTGGGGTCGCAATGTTGGCTCTATTTCATTTTCTAATAATTTCTTCAAACTTCCTTTGCAAGTCAAGCACTAGTCTGAACTACCATTCTGCAGTTATTGCATTGTTTCCAAGATGAGAGCGCACAGATGCACCTGGGCCGTTAGGACTGTGCTGTGCTGTGCCCTATGCCTCAATTTTTTAACTGTTTAAGAACCATTGCATCAAGGAACATCTAGTTTCACAGAATTCACCAGAGAAGAAGGAGAAAGAAGTAAGAAAGTCAGATATAATAGAATAATTATGCACACCAAGGCCAACTGAAAAATAGTCACACACAAATGAAATCTAGACATCTGTTGTCCAGGGCTAAGGTTAGGAGAAATGGGAACAACTGGTTTTTACAAAGAGCTGCCATGGGCTACTGAGATGTCTCCAACTCGGCCTATGGCAGGCATTCCCTTATTTCAGATGACAGGTCCCCTGGAGGGATATAATGTGTCTCCTGCTTCTCAGGGTCCCAGATGTCTGTCTCCATCCCAGCCTACTGCAGGCAATCCTTGTCTTTGTATGCTGTCCCCAGAAGTAGCTAAGGAGGCAATGTTTCTATACTGATAGGGTTAAGTCTGGCACATGGGCCTTTTACAAGGTCAGCCCTACATCACCTGCCATTACATATTTTCTGCCCTTGATACAAAACCACAGCTCTCATCTAAAAGGGAGTAAAAGATAGTTTATTCTGGAGCCATTGTGGTGACCAGGGCTTGGGAATGTAGATTTAAGCTACCCAAGTTCCATGTTCCAAAACAAAAACAGTGTTATGAAATGTCTGTAGCTTTATAGAGTCAAATCGAATTTAAAATGATAGTATATCAGAGGTGTGCATTGGTGGGTACATCAGAGAGGCAGGTATGTCAAGATTAGGGGAGATTTCCTATGATGCTCTCTGATGGTATTCTTAACTTCTGGACTGATAGAAGCTAGTTGCTTTTAAATCAATAGATTCTAAAGGGGCTTTTTTTTTTCTTTTGTCACAAGATTTTAGTTCCAGCACAGAGGTGAGCAAGTTATGGCTGTTCCAGAAGGCCACAACTTAACGTAATATAAGGTAATTAGCCGGCAACATTCCAACCTCCCAATGGTACTAAAATTCTTACAAGCCAATCAATCTCTGCAGACAGATGCCTTCAGGAGTTCTCCTGCAACAGCCAGAGTCAGGTTCTTTGCAGAGCTTTTCGCTTCTCTGTAACATAGCCAGAGACAAATGACCTCAACTTTTCTTGAGATGGCAAAGACTATATAGTTCCCATAAACAAAACTTTGCAAGGCTTTCTTTTTTATTTTTTAACTGTGTGTGTTACGAAAAGAAAGCAATCCTGTATTGTGGGTCATGGCTTTGGCATTGGGAAACATCAAAAGTCAGGAACTTTTCCCTTGACCTGACAGAAAGAGAAAAGACCTTGAAGCAAAACAATTCAAATGCAGAGTTCAAATCCAAATACTTTCTGTGTGGAGTCGGGCTCAGTGGAGAGGACACAGTGGCAGGGTGGCTCCTCATCTCAGAGAGTTGGCATCTTTCTCCCTTTAAAATACAATTGAAATCTCTCTCTACCTACCAAATCAAGAAGATTCCTATGATGATCATAACTTGGCAAACATTAAACTTTCCAAATTAAGTGAAATCTAGGTACATATATGAAATAAAATATCTGACTGGATCCTTTTCAAATTAGAGTATTTGTTCCTTCGTTACAGGAAGCATGACCCTGAGTCCCAAGCCATTTCCAATGCCTTTAAACTGCCTGCATTTTAACAAAACTGTTCTTAAGGAAAACTAATGTAGTATCTCACTCGGTATCACAGAAGTGTGTGTATTACTCCATCACAGAAACTTATGATATTGTTTAGCTGTTGTTATTGCCTGGTTGGTGGTTGAAGAACATAAGGCTTCCACATCTCTTTCTTCCAAGCACTGACAGATATAAGTATGTACTTAGCATCCTGAAAGGGTGGGTGGAGGTGGATTCTTATGATTGAATTTCACCCCCAGACATACATATGTTAATAGATTTCTTCTTGAGCTTACTGGCTGGCACTATCTCCATTAATTCCACCATCCATAGTTTCCTCTAAGGCTCATCTGTTCTCTTAGCGTATCCCCAAGATCTATCCACATTTTTACCTATTGCCGATTTTTCTCCCTTTTCAAAACTGGTGTTATTTCGGTGTAGAAACAATGAAATAGGAATAAAGAGTGACAGAAAGAAAAGGCAGACAGGAAATTGCATTGTATGCAGACACACACGCTGCATGCATCATTGCAATTGTGTCAGGACCTAAAACAGTAAAATTCCAGCATCAAAGAGAATGGATGTCAGTGAAGCTAAGAAGAAAGGAGGCAGAACCATTGCTAATCAATAGAGATTTCAGTTAAACAAGGTCAGTGGGTTCTAGAGCATATGTGGACAGCACCGTAGCTGTGATTAACATGCTGTATCAAATACTTAGACAATTTGTTAAAAAGGGAGATTTCACACAGTGTTCTCAGCACCATAAAATGAAAGAAAAAGATGCCATGTTTAGCATCTTCTCAATCTCCCCTCTCATTCTTTCTGTCTCTAGCCTTTTCTTTCTACCATTCTCTTGAACTGGATTCATTTTCCTTGTACTTCTTGCAGCCTTCTGTGGAATTCCAGTGTGGTTTGAAATGCTGTTGTAGTTCTACAGATCCCACCTGAATCTCTGCCTCTCCCAATATTTTCTGGCTTGCCCTGATGGTTCCCAAAAGGAGACTTTCATCCCAGGAAGTGCTCTGAAGACTGGATGTCTGCCTCCAATTTCCTGGAGGATGCGTCAGGCTCTTCATCTTTTTTCAAAACTCCTTGAATGTCAAAACATTTTCCCTGTTTCCTACCCAGATAGAACATACCAGAATTCTCTTAGTTACTGGTACCAGAGACCCAGAGTGAGTTCACAATGTCTTTTGTACCCCCTCCCACCCAAATCCCTGTAGGCTAGCTACCCCAGATTCTCTCTGTTTTCTCTTTCTCCTCTACTAGCACCACAGTATTAGTTATCTTCTCCACGATAAGGGAACTTCACATCTGCCTTCCCTAATTTCATCACACGGAAGCTTGTCTTTTATCTTACCTGAGAATTTTAAAGCTCAAATTGAACAGTAATGATTCCCTATTCCATACCTTTCAGTGGCCTCCCATTATTTCAGGATAAAGTTCAGGCTTCTTAAGCTGCAGAAAAAGAAGCCTTAAAAAGCAAAAACTAGTCAGCGTGAAACAATTTCTCCTTTGGACAAAAACCTCATTTGCTATCCAGTACTTTCCTCTCCTGCCACCCTCCCAAACTAATCTCCCCAGTTCTACTCTACACTACCTCCATTCTTCTGCATACATTTTGCATATAAAACTCACCCATATGAATTTTAACATCCTGTTCTTTTTTGTATGTAGCATTTCTTTTTCTCTCTCGCATCTTGGCTCACTGAGATCTTGCCCACTCCACCTATAAGACACAGCTCAGAGAAAACATTCATCACAACCTCCTTTTCCTCACACCCTCTCCATGTTCATAGTATTCATTCATCTGTATCCCCAACCTGCACGTCTCCTCCATTGTTCTAAAAGGTGTCTTTCAGAGTGTGGCACCTAATAGAAACACAATGGAGTTTTGATAATGAGGCAAAGGAATGAATAAGTGAATAGAAGAGATAGGACATCTGGATCCAGGAGCTCCTACCAATCCCAACTCTGGTTCCTTATGTCAAATGGGTAACACATGCTTAACTTATGTGATGACATATTTTCTAATACATTACATTATATCTACATCAATCCTAATAGCTAAATGCAAGATAAATGCTGTGTAAATAGTTATTGCACACTGTTCCTGAGAGAATTACTATGAGAGGTCTGTATGTATTTGGTGCAGACACAAGTTTTATTCCCCCCAAGTGTCTTTTATTCATAGCTGTTTGATTGCATGGATATAGAAGTTGTAGACACAGAAAGCAGACTGCATAGCAGATAGTGAGTGTTGTATGATATGGTGTCAGACCTTAGATAAGGTGCTTTAATCTCCAGGGTAATAAAGGAAGAGCTTAGCCTTTCTAGACCTAAGTTCTTCATGAATAAAATTGGGAGGTCAAACTTAGACATGACAAAACTGACTCTTAGCCAATCACCTTTTATCTCTATGCTTGTATCAGTTCACAGAAAAGCAAAATCAGCTATGAAGTTAGTTGTATATTGCAGAATGGTCTGTATGCCTTCAATGCAGACTGACATCATTTAGGATTCCAATTCGCTGAATTATGCCTAAGGCATTCTGTATGAGTTTTTAATTAAAATTTCCCATTATTGAGCAAATTCTACCTTAAAGATGGGTGTGTCCCATTCAGTCTATCAGAAACTGCTATACCTCCTAGGAAGAAGAAAACAAGAGTGACATTATAATGATGCAATTGAGGCCCCTCTCTAAATGTACTTCTCCCCTTTCTTGCAGATGGAAGTCCTTACACCTGGTGGGTTGGCAAAGCCAATGAGAAGCACTACTACTGGGGAGGGTCAGAGCCTGGAATTCAGAAGTGTGCCTGCGGGATTGAGCGCAACTGCACAGATCCCAAGTACTACTGCAACTGTGACGCGGACTACAAGCAGTGGTGAGTGTCCAGGGAGCGCGGCCTCCCTGAGTCTTCAGGTCAAATGGATTAATAGAAGGGAAGTCTGGGAAAGTGCTAAAGTGAGAAGATAATAGGTGAGAACTGTGGGGAACTAATTCAGTGGACAAACGTCAGGAGCACCCTAACAGTACAAACACAAAATGAGGTCAGTGTGACAAAGCTATGCATGTGGAACACATAATTGATGTGCTCATATTCCATTCTTAGAGGAAAATAATGAGTCATGTTGGCGGCACTGATTTGCATTATAACATGTGCCCTAAGATGATGGAGGGAACAGCTAGGGCAGAATGCGATGTGCAGATACCTTAGAGGGGAAAAGAGCGGTCAGCTCCCAGGATGTTTACTTTAGTATACAGCCCAGAAAGAAAAAAAATAAGGAGAAGGAAGAGGAAGGAAAGGGAAAGGATCCTTTGTTCTTGTTGCCTACAAATGCTTGCCTGTCTCCTTTGCCATCATACTCTGAATTGCTTATAACCCTGATACAAATCAGTTCAAGAAAGATCTATTTTGGGTTGTTTTCATCCCTTCGCTGGCTTTTGTCCTCCTTCACAGTGAGTGACTAAGACAGTGTCAGTCGCAGATAAAGATAAAATCAGCAGTCCTTCCCTGGGAAAAGAAGATCAGGTCTAGAAGTTTAGCTGGAAGAGTAAATACCAGGAAAAAAAAAAAAAAAGCCTAGCCCACCTCCTACTGGTCAGCGCTCGAGGCTCCTCTCTATTCCTGCCCTGCATGACTGCAGGGTTCTCAGGTAACCAAACCTACGTTCCCCAAGTCCACTTGGAATCACTGTCTACAAGAATGATGTACAAGATAAATTCATTCTACCTATTACTTAGTAACTAATTCGAAGAATACAAAATGGTAGGATTTTAAGACAGAGGGTCTATAGACTTCCCAACAGTTTGATTTCTTCAAGTAAATGGAAATATATATATATATATATATATA